TCCACAGGGAGAGGCGGGAAATAATAATAATAACAATTATTATTATTATTACTACTACTACTCCTCTGGGTTTTATTGTTTTAAAAAAAGCAGGCTCTGCCCCAAGGAGTTTACAATTGCACTTTTGCTTCCCATGAATTAGGGGATGAATTAGGAAATTAAGAAGGTGGTTGTTGTTGTTGTTGTTATTGTTATATTTATATATTCTGCAATCCACCCCTAAAACTTGGGACTCAAAGTGGCTTACAAAAATTAAAAAGAACAACGCAGTTAAAAACCTGCAAAAGTGGGCATTAAAATAGCATTAAAAAGGTAAGTAAAAAGTAAAGAATATGAATAGGACTCAGAGCCTGATTTTGCCTTCTTAGTGGATGTTTAATTGGGCGAAATGATAAATCTACTTTTTTTGGGGGGGAAAAAATAACTAAATGTAAATAATGCAAATAATTTATATAAATAATTATGGGTATGTATGCATGAGTATATAAATAAAGTAAGGGGGAAACATTATTTCTTTCCTGGACCCCTTTTTCTATTTGCATCCCACTTAAAGCTAGTGCATTTCTAGACTGCATTACTTTGGCTGCATTCAATTTTATGGAGAAATAGGGTTGTTTTGGTTTTTTAATCCCTTTAAACAGAAAATAGGTTTTATAAAAGGCAGCAGCCCAGAAAAGAAAGTCTGCTTTTTTTACTCCCCTTTTTCCTTTTGCTTTCCCCTTTTTTCAAATGTGACCGTCCCATATATATTGCCATATATGGCAGTTGAAGCGGTATCAAACTGGATTATTTCTGCAGTGCGGATGCAGCCTTCGTGGCTCCAAAGCTGCTCCAAGAGACGTCTGGGGCTTGCCTTTGCTTTTTGTGCCACAGGGTTGTCAAAATAACTATTCCCTTTGCTATGCAGTGAGACCCTATATTGGGAGAAAGGAAGGATATAAGTAAATAAAATATTAAAAATGAATAAAATAATAATAGGGAGGGTGTCTTTTTTCGGGGGGTGGCATAGATAGGACCCCTCTTTGCTCTTCCTTTCCTTTCTTTTTTGTCTTTTTGCTGCTTGTTTTCTTCATTGCCAGCCCACCTTCCACCAATTCTTGGTCCTATCATCCTCGAAAACCTGAGATATTCTTGACAGCTTATTCCTTTTCCTGCAAATAATACTACTAATAATACTAATAATATTAATAGCAATAGCCTTTGCATTTCTGTGCCGCTTCATAGTGAACCCAGCACTCCCTAAGTGGGTTGCAATCTGTAAGCCAGTTGCCCCCAGCTATTTTGGGTATCTGTTTTAGGAACCTACAAAAGGATGGAAGGCTGAGCCGACCCTGGAGCCCTGGGTTCGAACTCACAACCTTGTGGCTTGCAGTACCCAGCATTTGCAGTAAAAGTAAAAGAGATTTCTTACTCTTAATAGGGATGCAGTCTGTTATCAAGCCACTGGGTGACTTTGGGCAAGTCACACACTCTCAGCCTCAAAGGATGGCAATGGCAAAGGCAAACCCCTTTTGAAGAAAGTTGTCAAGGAAGCCCTATGATCGCTTTGCTTGGCGGTCACCGTAAGTTGGAAACAACTTGAAGGCACACAACAACAACAACAACAACAAATCATCTCTGGGCAAGTCACACTCTCTCAGCCTCAGAGGGCAGCAGTGCAAACCCTCTCTCTGAAGAAACATGCCAAGAAAACACCATTATTTTCACCTTAGAGTTGCCATAAGTCATAAGGTACACAAGAACAACGATCTGTTATTAGCAGTCTAATCTCCAAAAGCAAACTCTGCAAAGCAGAGATAGGGAAAGGTTACTTTCCTGGACTGTAATGCCCAGAATCCACCTATGGGCTTTGCTGGGTGGTGGTGATGGGAACTGTAGTCTAGGTGTTGCTGTTGTTGTTGTTGTTGTGTTGCCTTCAAGTCATTTCCAACTTATGCTGAGCCTAAGGCGATGGGTTTCTTGGGGCTGAGAGTCTGTGACTCACCCAAGGTCACCCAGGGAATCGAACCCAGAGTCATCCAACTCTCAGATATTACATGGACTTCATTTCAGTTCAGTGTGAATGGAGAAGACAACGAGAAGAGATTAGTCTACGGAGCTGAATATACAGTACTTTTTTTTTTTTTTGGAATTTTAGTTTTAATATTTTCTTTTGTAATCTAGTATATTTTGCTTGTATGTATTTGTCAGTCTGCGTTATATTATAATTCATTGGTGTTTGTATTTCTGTCTGGATAATTTGTTTTACAATTGGCCCTCCGTATCCACAGATGCTTTATCCACAGATTCAACCATCCGTAGCTTGAAAATACTTCCAAATAAAATAAAATAAAATAAAATAGAACATCCAAAGAGCAAACCTTGGTTTTGCCATTTTATATAAGGGACAGCATTTAACCACTCCATTGTATTGAATGGGACTTGGGCACCCACGGATTTTGGTATCCATGGGGCATCCTGGAACTAATCCCCAGCAGATACCAAAGGTCCAGTGTACACCTGTATTGCACCGTATTGTATTTGGATTATTCCTTCCCCCGTGTGTGCACACATCTGTGTATTAGATTGTATGCCTTTGACATAGAATCATAGAATCCTAGAGTTGGAAGAGACCCCAAGGGCCATCCAGCCCAACCCACCCTGCCATGCAGGAACTCCCAATCAAAGCACCCAGCCTCTGTTTACAAACCTCCAGAAAAGGAGACTCCTCCACTCTCCAAGGCTGCATCTTCCAATGTCAAACAGATCTTAATCTCAGGAAGTTCTTCCTAACATTTAAGTGGAATCTCTTTTCCCATCGCTTGCATCCATTGCTCCATTCTCTGGAGCAACAGAAAACAAGTTTGCTCCATCCTCAATATGACATCCCTTCCAATACTTATACAGGGCCATCATCTCACCGCTTATCCTTCTCTTCCCCAGGCTAAACATACCCAGCTCCCTATGTCGCTCCACATAGGGCTTTGTGGTTTCCAGATTCTTCACCATTTCGGTTGCCCTCCTCTGGACACGTTACAGTTTCTCAACATCCTTTTTGAATGATGGAGCCCAGAACTGAACACAGTGTTATTCCAGGTTAGGTCTGACCAAAGCAGAATACAGTGGCACTGTTACTTCCCTGGATCTCAACACTATACTTCTGTTGATGAGGCCTAGAATTGCATTGGCCTTTTTAGCTGCTGCATCACACTGTTGACTCATGCTCAACTTGTGGTCTACTAGACCTCTTTCACATGTAGTCTTGTCAAGCCAGGTGTCCCACATCCTATATCTATGCATTTCATTTTTTCTGCCTAAGTGCAGTATCTTACATGTTTCCGTGTTAAAATTCATTTTGTTAGTTTTGGCCCAGCTTTCTAATCTATTGAGGTCACCTTGAATTTTGATCCTGTCCTCTGGGTTATTAGCTACTCCTAATTTGGTGTCATCTGCAAATTCGATAAGCATGCCTTCTTTTCTTTCATCCAAGTTGTTGATAAAGACTCGGCTGACTGTTTTTTGTTGTCCTTTTACTTGTAAAGTGCCATGTACACCAATGGTGCTATATAAATAAATGGTGATGATAATAATTATATTTTCAAGCTGTGTTGCAGAGTAGGTTAAGGATAGGGTCCTTGATTTTGTTGTATTACAGCTCCCATTATCCCTCATCTTTGGCACTTCAAGTGAGAATTAAAGGCACAATGGCTCGGTTCTTTTGTTATTGTACAGCAGCGGTTGTCGCAAAATGGACCCCCTGTTGACTTTTTCTATGGCTCAGCTGTCATTCATATGGAAAAATAGATGACCCGCTTTTACTGTGCAAGAAATAAGAGAGAGAGAGAAAGGGGAAAAATACTTAAAACTTTAAAGGTGGCTTTTGCTTCCGTCACAGAATGATGGCTTTTGTTTGTACAAGTTGTTTGTGTTACGTTGCAGGCCACGGATAGTCCACGTAATAGGCAGATTTGTTCACGTTAAATCGGCAGATCTATTATTTACATTTAAAAAGCTGAATCAGTTTTGCAAAAGCCAGCTTGGGCGGTGAAAAGGTAGAGCAGGCAATTCTGGAAGGAATCTGTGGGATTTGTAGCATGGTCTTTCAAGATTGCCAAAATGACCCCAATTCATCGATCATGTCCTAAGGCTGGACTGAGCTGTGTGGACCAAAGGTATTGTAAACTCTCATCCTGAATTCTTTGAAACCTGTATAGTCGTTCCTTTGGGTTCACGGGGGATACGCTCCGGACACACACACACCCTGCAAATCAGAAAAATCACAAATATTTGGGGCTCATTGTTTTCAATGGCTGCGCACGCCCGCCCGCAGGTGCGCCATGGGTGCATGCGCCATTTTATCCCTCCCCGCTTGCCGGTCCATGAAAGACCAAGGCCACAGACTCCAAGTCTGTGAAATGGGAGAGATGAGTGTACAGGGATGATAGAGTCATAGGATCCTAGGGTTGGAAGGGACTCCTAAGGGTTGTTGTTGTTATTATTATTATTATTATTATTATTATTATTATTATTATTAATCCAGTCCAACCCCCTTCTGCCATGCAGGAAGACACCATCCAAGCCTTCCCAGCCTGTTTGGAAATCTCCAAAGGAGGAGATTCCACTGTCCTCCTAATGTTTAGCTGGGATCACTTTTCCTATAATTTGAATCCATTGCTCTGCGTCCCGTTCTCTGAAGCAGCAGAAAGCAAGCTTGCTCCATATGTTGTTGTTAGTGTGTGCCTTCAAGTCATGTCCGAATTATGGCTGCCCTAAGGCATACCTGTCTTTGGCAAGTTTCTTCGGAGAGGATTTGCCATTGCCTTTCCCTAAGACTGAGAGAGTGACCAAATGGGTTTTGTGGTTGAGCCGGGAATTGAACCCTGGTCTCCAGAGTCGTAGCCCAACACTCGCACCACTATGCCATGCTGCCTCTCACAACTTAAGCAAAGTTTCTGTCTCCCCGATGTCTCTTCTCCATGGGTTGGCTTGGCCTGCGCCCATCCTTCCCTTCAAGGCAGTGTATTCCGCTGTCAAACAGCTTTTATTATTAGGAAGTTCTTCCAAATGTTAAAGTGGAATGTCTTTTCCTGTAGCTTGAACCCATTGCTCCACTGAGTCCTATTCTCTGGAGCAGCAGAAAACAAGCTTGCTCCATCCTCAATAGGACACCCCTTCAAATATTTTAAAGAGGCTGCCGTGTCCCCTCTTGACCTTCTCTTCTCCAGGCTAAACATACCAAGCTTCCTAATCTGCTCCTCATAGGACTTGGGGATAGACCTTCTACCATTTTGGTCATCCTCCTCTGGACACGTTCCACCTTGTCCACGTCTTTGTTGAATTGTGGTGCCCACAACCGGACGCACTATTCCCGGTGAGGTCTGACCAAAGCAGGATGGAGTGGTACTATTACTTCCCTTGAACTAGACGCTACGCTTCCATTGTTGTAGCCTAGGATCATGTTGGCATTTCTAGCTGCAGCATCACACTGTTATCTCATGTTCAGCTTGTGGCCCAAGACGGATAGCCCTTTAACTGTTATAGAGCCCTCCTGTGGGATCCTGGGATTTGTAGATTGATCATAGGAGAGAGCCATTGTGGTGTAGTAGTTTGAACGCTGGGCCATGGTCGAGAGAAACCAGGGTTCGAAATCTTTCAGCCTCAAAGGAAGGCACTGGCACACACCCCTGGACAAATCTTACCAAGAAAACCTTGGGGGGGGGGTTGCTATAAGTTGTGAAAGCACACAACAACAACAACAGGCATAGATTTCTCTGCTAGAATTCTCCAATCCACGTCCTTGAATGGCAGCACTAGAACTTGCCAGTGAGAAATTTTAAATTCCTGATGAAACTATGAATCCCAGGACCCCACAGAATGGGGTTGTAAAAGTTAAAGTGGTATCAAAGTGTTATAATTATTTATGGTATTTATGTCCTGAGTCTATCCATCGGTAATGTCGTTTTTCTCTGTTTTTATTGCTTTCCACCCAAAAGCGTTATCTTCTTTTCTCCAAGTCCTGTCGGCGCACAATGTGTCCAAAGTATGATAGTCTCAGTTTTGTCATTTTAGATAATAATAGATAATACAAGATAAAAAGAAATTGCGGGGGGGGGGGGGGGGAATCTCCATTTTCCATCTCAAATGCAGAAGCCATAGTTTTGATGTCCAAAAGCCCGGGTGATGTTATGCAACGGCACTGAATCTGTGAGATTTGTTATTTTTTGCATTTAGGGGAAGAAAAACTGCCCCTTATTTATTTACTTTTTGTTATTGTCATTACAGTTACCCCTCTGTTTTCGCAGGGAATCCGTTCTGGACCACCACCACCCCCGCGAAAACCGCAAATATTCAAGCCCCATAAGATTGAATGGCTACGCCCGCCTGCCGGCGCCTGTGGGCACACGCCACGGGTGCCCCCCATTTTGCCCCCCTCCATTTGCCACCTACGCAAGGGCAAAGGCGAGGGACGCGGACTTCAAGTCCACGAAAACGGAGGGGCGACTCTACTACTCATTTGATTTATATCCTGCCTTTCCCTCCCAAACTGCGACTTTAGGTGAGCTGCAAATTTAAAACGGGTATAATTTAGCCGAAAATACGGTATATATTTTTTTTAAAAAAAAAGATGATCATTAAAGTGCCATTAAACAACCTGTAATGCTAAAAAGCCATTTAAAACCTGCATTTAAAAATGAATAAAATACACTTAAAAGCAGCACATAAAAGCATGCCTATGGGAATAATTTTTTTAAAAGCAAGTCTTATCTGTAGCGGGATGAACTTTGGCTCATCCTTCTTCGCCTTGTTCAGAGTCAGTGGGCAGCCTTGGTTGGCACACATTTCGGCACATTTCTCCAAACTTCTCTAAACTTTTAAGCTCAAGTTCAGGTGTAACTGCTTTGGCTGCAGCCAGGCCTCTTAGCTGAACATCCCCGTTCTTCCTTTTCCTTTCCTGATCCGATTTCCAGACTCCCATTTGTCCTCTTGCTTGTCCAGGAAAGAAAAAAGAAGAGCAGGGGGTGACTTTGGAGACTCCAAGAATCAGAGAATTGGAAGGGATCCAAAGGGCCATCTAGTCCAGCCCTGAACCAAGTACAGTCAGGAAACTTTTATTCGGTGACTTTAGATCCAGTTCAGAGATATTCACCTGAGAGATGACCATCCAGCCTCTCTTTAAAAACCTCCAAAGAAAGAGGCTCCATCACCCTCCGAGGGAGCATCTTCCACTGTAGAACAGCTCTTGCAATAAAGAAGTTCTTCCCAATATTGAGGTGGAATCTCTTTTCCTGCAGCTTGCATCCATTGCTCCATTGGGTCCTATTCTCTGGAGCAGCAGAAAACAAGCTTGTTCCCTCCTCAATAGGACATCCCTTCAAATACTTAAACATGGCTATCATATCACCTCTTAGCCATCTCTTCTCCAGGCTAAACATCCCCAGTTCCCTAAGTCATTCCTCATAGGGCTTCATGGTTTCCAGACCCTTCACCATTTTGGTTGCCCTCCTTTGGACACCCTCCAGCTTCTCAACATCCTTTTTGAATTCTAGTGCCCAGAACTGGACTCAAGATTATTCCAGGTGAGGCCTGACCAAAGCAGAATACAGGGGCACTATCCCCTTGATCTAGATGCGATACTTCTATTGATGCAGCCTAGAATCACATTGTCCCTTTTTGCTGCA